CGTCAGCATATTCTTCAGCTTTCATGTCGGCAACATCTGGTGACCTGAATACCAAGTCACTGGATAAACGAAGCTCCCTTCAAAAACAAAGCTTTGGCTAGTGTAATTTCTGTTGTGTTATGTACGGCTGACCTGTAGACCAATAGAAATGGAGGTATATGCTCATCCCAATCATCTTGATCCTTGTCAACTTCTTTGGAGAGATGTTTCTCGATTGTCTCGTTGAATCTCTCAACCATGCCATCTGATTGTGGATGCAATGCCGTGGTTCTGGTTTTGTGAATGCCTAGCAGTTCGCAAAGTTTTTGAAATAGGCGTGACTCGAAATTGCGCCCTTGATCCGAATGAAGTTTCAATGGGGTTGTAAACCTAGGGTAGGTAAAAACATTATTCACGAGGACTTTTGCAACTGCAGATACTTCTTGATTTGGAATAGCGAAAACTTCTGGCCACTTGCTGTAATAATCCATGGCAATCAGGATGTATTTTTTGCCGCTTCGCGTAGCATGAAATGGAGCGGCTATGTCTATTGCCATTCGTTCGAAAGGCATCCCCACGTTGTACTGCTTCATTTGTCCCTTAGATCGTGTTCTGCGTCCTTGACTCGCTGCGTATGTCGCACATTGTCGGGTCCATGTCATGACATCCTGGTAATAGTTCACCCAATAGAATCTGTCACGGATCTTGTCCAAGGTCTTGTTGACTCCCACTTCCCATTATGAACTTCTTCTAAAACTTGAACAACTTTTGTTCTAGGCACGACGTTTTGACGATTTTACCATCTGCACTCTCCCAGGTTCGATTCAGTGAACTATTTTCGACTATCGTATATTGTATTGTATTGTATTGTATCAGGGAGACCCATTGAGCCCACAGCGCTTTGAAAGTTGAGCTTCTAGGTGGTATTCCTTTCCGGGTTGGTCTGGATTTTCCAAATTTCTTTAGATTCGAAAATGACTTGATGTCACTATCTTGTAATTGGTCACTTCTAAGCTGTTCGGAACTCCATTCTTGTTCCGTTTCAAATAGGAATCTCCTAATAGGAACTCCTTCACCCTGATCTATTTCAAGGCAGTGCTTGCATTGAGCTAGGTATGATCGCCTGGATAAAGTATCTGCGCTATTATGCAGTTTATTACCAGAACGGTGTTTGATTTTAAAATGGTACTGATGTTACTTCTCCAGCCATCTTGCTACCTATCCTTATGGTTGTTTCATGTTTAGAATCCATTTGAGTAATGCATGGTCTGTTCTAATGAGAAATTCTTGTCGATACAGGTACTTGTGCAAATGGTCAACACTCAACCGCTCTGACTATTGCTAAAAGTTCCTTTCTTGTAACGCAGTAATTTATCTCGGGCTTGGTAAGCACTCTACTATAACATTCAATGACCCTTTCTTATAAATTTTCCATGTACCCGTGGGTAGCCTAATATAGGACTGGAAGATAGACCTATCTTTAGCCTCCCAAAAGCTACATCAAAGTCGGTGTTCCAATCAAAAATATCTTTTTCTTCAGTAAGTTTATGCAACGGCGCTGCTACCTTAGCAAATCCTTTTACAAATCGTCTGTAGTATGTACAAAATACAAAGCTCAAGGAAACTTCTAAGTTCATGCTTGTCCCGAGGTCAAGGTCATTCACAAATTGCTTGGATTTTTCTCTCGTCAGTATGAATTTCTTCGGGTGAAACTACAAGAAAATCAGCGCGCTGTTGGACGAGTGAACATTTTTATCATTTAATCGGAGGTCTGCCTTACGGATACGGGTAAATACTTTTTGTAGGTTTCGTAGGTGCCCATCAAAAGTTCTTCCATCAGTAACACATTATCCAGGTAGTCGTAGACAAGCAGGCATACTTTTCACGTACGTCCTCAAAGTACGATTTCCTTAAACCTCTTAAAAGTAGCGGGGACGTTACAGAGTAGTATCCGCTTTTTCCATTCAAAGTAAAAAATCAATTTGAGTCTGCCAATGTCGTAAGGGTATCATAAGTTCTATAGGTAATGGGCAGCTCTATCTTTCTTAGTGACATCGTTAGGCTTTTTGTAATCGAGGCAAAATCTGGTAGATCCATGTCTCTTTGTTACTAGTACAATTGGCGACGATCACGAACTTGAAGACTGTTCAACAACTTCCTCTGCAAGCATACTGTCTACTAATGACTCCACTTCTTGTTGTTTAGTCATGAGAAGTCTTCTAGGTGGTTGACGGATCGGATGAGCACTGCCAGTATTGATTCCATGCTTGATGATGTTCGTCTCACCAGTTTCGTCATTTTGACCCTAAAAGATATCCTTGCTCTCACAACTAAAAGATATCCTTGTCCTCACAAAGGAGTTTGAGCCTTCTTCAGTTCTGCAGAGTAGAAATATATTGCCAAGATCTTTCGAATTATCTTATATTGTCGCTGGATGATTTATTGCCCTTCTTTTTTTTTTTGATGTTCTTCAGCTTCACACTTTGGAATTCATCTGAATGGCTCATAGCGGAAGAGTCTCTAATAGGTCTAAGGCAGGGCCACGCATTGCTACAATCAACTCTGTAGCCATTTCATCTGGGCTCCAACCATTAGCCGTTGCAACAGCCTCGAATTGACGTCTGTACATGGCCCACGATGTCTGTCCGTCGTAGGGTTGTGAATTACCTTCAACATCGAGTGCAGGCAAGGAGGAGATGATCTGAAGTCACATTCTAACTTTTTATTTTATTTTGAACACTATCCATTTCTTGCCGAATGGCTCCAACTCCATGACGAACATTCCCAACTTCTTCGCGAACTTCTTCGCATACTTCTTCCATTGCATTCGTGCATTTATTATCTTGTACTTCCAGAATTTTCGTGAGTCTAATTTGTTCCTCATAGATTATGGTTTGTATCCATTCACGCTGAGGTTTAGAATTTTCCTGAAGCCGGTCATGTTCTTCTTGTCTCCGCTCTCCTTGTTGTGGTAAATGTACTGCAAGCAAGTCCTGTTCCTTTTGTCTTCGGTCTTCTTTACTCTATTTGAACTGCTCACAACAAAGCACTTATTTAGACTCTACCTACTATCACGCGATGCATTTTCATAACATTATAATTTTCCATATGCATTATTGAATTTGACACCACACCTTCCTATGGACTGTTTGCAGTCGTCCAAACTATAAGTCATGCTCAAACTTTTTGTGCCACTGTGTATAAAAAAAATATAGGAAAGGTGTAGTTTTATGTAAATAGGAAAGGTGTAGTGCTTGAAAAATAGTTCTCAGAAAACATAGTTTTGTTCATACAGGGTATTGCAGAAAGTTGAAAAAACAAAAAAAATATTTTTTTTCAATGGGACACCCTGTATATTATTGAATATTCGGATTATACGTGAAATTCTGAGCAGAATTCATGTGATATACACTATACCTATGTTCAACTGTTTTGGAAATATTGACAGTTGAAATTTGACTTTTTTGCAACTTTGACAGGAGGTAACACCTAAACGGTTAATTTTACAGCAAAACCAACCAAAAATTTCTGCATTCTGACGGAATGTTTTGATATGTTTTGAAACGTTTTAAAACGCTACATTTTGGTGCTGCAGCGGTGACGTCATATACGGAAACGGTTCAACCAGTGTCGAACCGCTCTTTCAGCCTGTTTCAAAATAGACGTTCAACAGCTGACCTCAAAATACCATTGGTATAGTACACAAAACAATAATTTTAGAGATGTCAGGTGCTCCGTTTTGAAACGTGCCATTTTTGATCACCGCACCGATACGATGACGTAGTAATCGAACCAGTTTTGAAACGTTTTAAAACACGGACAACAGAAAAAGACGTCTTAAGTTTATTAGAAAATTAGAAATTTAAGTCATAAAATAAACCAAAGAATCACCCCCTTTCATTTGTACATGATATTTAGGGACACCCTGTATATCGGTTACACCAATTTTTCAGATGGCTCCTATCACCAACAAAGATTCTACGTTTTTGTATGACGCAGCTAATTCCAAAACCTTACCCCTTCCCTAACCCGTTCCCGAATCCATCAAATAGACCTTCACTCCTCAAGAATCTACAACTTCTCGGCTCTATGAGCTCAATGAAAAAAATCATACTGACTTTACTTCTTAGACCTTCTTCCAGCAGCATCGGTTAGTCTTCACTCTTCATCTTATAACGCTACATGAAAAATACTAATAGGTTTGTCCTCAATTCTCTTTATCAATCTCTTTACTTGGACTGAGCAAGAGGGATAGTCTAGTTAGTATTGATCTCGAAGCCTTTTTGATTAGACTTCTTATTCCTGAAACTCGTAACATCATCTCGAAGACATCCTAAAACTCGAAAATCTCCATATCTTCTCATTCCAGCTGACAACTGCTTAACTGCTTATACGTATTTCACATGCAATGATCAAATTTATTAATAAATATCAAAGGCAGTCACAACTTTCAGCTGTCATCGCAAATAATAATTCTATCGAATCTGCTAAAAAAAAAACATTCATAAATTTCCCCTAAGCTGGAACTCTGGTGAACCGGTCACCAAGAATCTCTACGATCATTTCCTGATGAAAAATTCCTTATCTTCAAACATCCACGATACTGTTTAACTGAAAAATAACAACACTCAACTCCACAAACATTCTTCCATAGGCCATTCAGTCTATAGAAAACCCACACACACACACACCGATCGATACCTCAATGCATTATCACATCATTATCTGGCATAAAAGTTATCCAGTTTACAGAACAATATTATTATCCGAACTCGAATCTCTCGACCAAGTGTTGAGACATCTTTCATTCCATAGGAAAACAGGGTAACCCTGAAACTAACCCTCAAATTGCGACTGCAGTTCCTGCGTACATATAAAATTTCACCGATCACAAATCAAAAGTCCACCAATAACATAACATCGAAACCAGATTCTCTTGACTTGTATCTATAAATCATAAGCATTATTTCTAAAATAAATAACTTACATTGCATAACTCAATAATGCAAATATTTTTCTAGGGAGCACGTTTTGGAAGCCCTTCCCTACATAAATACAGCTGGATCCTTAGGACTCATGAAAGATATAATCCTTGCAAACACTCTATCAGAAGATACCTTAGATAACTGGATGATGTCCATAGCTTTTATATCTAATCCAGATATAGACATGATAGAAGCAGCCTATACTATTTTAAAAGAAAACCCATATTCTTCGAAAACAAACATTTTTTTGAGTATAGCCTCTCTAACCCATACATTTTGTAGTCAGAATTCTCATTGTGAGAAGCGAGCTTCAATATACTCGATAATTCAGCATTTCGAGCATAATTTTTTGGAACTCTTGGAAGATGACACTGCCAATAGGGAAGTACAGGATCAGGTAAATGATAGATTTAATGTTTTTTGAATTGAAAATAGTTTTTGAATTAAAAAAAAAATATAATATTGTGTTTAAGTGCACTGATCAATACCTAAACTCGTGACGCTTTTGGTTTTTATGGTTGTGGAGATTAAAAATATATAAAAACATAAATATGATAATAAAACAAACTATTACTAAATAACGTTATACAAAGCTTTGCCTCTATACTTTGAAAAACTCCGAAAGTAATAAGCTAAAATATTTTGTGCTATCAGTGAAACTTTTAATTCAAGACACAAACATGAAAACTTGTAAAATAAAATAAATGTCTGCCCGTAGGTCATAGTGACACTCAAGGCATTGTCTAGCATAGGAGTGATATCAGAGAATTTCGCAGCGGAACTTTTTAAAGTTGTGAATTATTCTAATCTGGACGTAGGTATACGAGTGGCTGCTCTAGAAACTTTTAGACGACTGCCTTGCGAGAAGCACAGAAGTTATTTTGAAAGTATATTCGAGGATCAAGAGCAAGATAGTGAAGTTAGGATTTCGGCATATCTCCAAGTGATGAGATGTCCCAGTTATTTGCTGATTCGGACGATCGCGTATAATCTAAGAAACGAGGAAGTTAATCAGGGTAGGTAACATTTTTTTAATACATAGGTAGGTATATGTTTATTTAACCCTATCATAAAATGATTATAATAAATGAGCTATGGAGAATTATTATTAAAAAAATTATTGTTTATCTGATGTTCTTTCACATTCTACTAATGTCTTATTTTTCTTTAATCATAGATGTGCCTGGCTTATATATTACAAAAAATCAAGCTTGAGATTGGATCTATCCAAGTAAATCTTATCATGGGCTATGACGGCATACATTGCAGTTGCCCTATCACTTATTCCTAAATTTGTATTGGTAAACACCTTATACGGGATCTTCACATGTGTAAAAGTAACTGGTAGGGGGTATTGTATTTTATTGTTAAGGGAGGTAGTCGTTAAATGCTAATAAAATTTGGGTGATATTTTATCCTCCATTATCCTTATTGGATAATCCAACGTGGCGGCAGTGTAGATAGTCCATTCTGATTCAGAAGAAAACTTCGAAAATTCTGAACAATTTTTGGCTATTTTGGGTCTTAGTAGAATTTGTATTAATGAAAGTATAAGTGGTTAGTTGATATTGATGTAGAAAACCTAAATACAACTTTTCCGTTTCTGTTTGATATACTGTGGCAGATATAGGTAAACTTGTTTTTCCACATAGATGTGTTTCACAGCAAAAATTTATTTTAATATTTCACCACCATTTAATTTAAATGTGGTCCAAATAGGTACTAAATAAAATAAAGTTGTTGGAAAATTAGAATGAATTTATCTTAAAATAATAAAAAAATAGGTAGGTACCTGTTCCAGGGACGTAGCAACAGAACGTGCAAGTGGTGTCGCGCATAAGAGCCCGGGCCTCGAAAGGGCCCGGGGCGTGTCCTGCAGTTTCTGGACGCAACATACAAGAAAATTTAAAAAAATCATATTACGCCCGCCCAAGCAATCAGTCTTTGCTTCGGCGATTTGTTATCGAAACAGAAAACTGTAATCTCGATTTCTACAGATTTCTTTTCAGTCAGCCCTCCGAGTCCCAGTACTCGCGTCAGTCAATATTGTCAATTGTCATTCTCAATCGTGGAGATCCATGAGTTACATGAGTGAATCCCCTGTGGGATGTGGGAATTGTGGGATTTTGTCGATGAAAACAGTAAATCTATTACGTGAGGAGTCCGGAGAGTACTGTTTTTTTGGACGAGTAGACAAGATTTCAGAATCCAGGGTGAGGCGTAGCCGAGTCCCGAGTCCTGGATGTCTGCGAGTCCGAAAATACACTTTCCTGGCGTATTACGTACACTATTTTTTCGACCAGAAAGTACATACTCCCCAGACTAGGCCGGAAAGTAATCACTTCCTGGCCTAAGTAATCACTGAAAACGACATTCTTTCCTAAAGGCCGTTTTACAGCTTGCAATTCTATTTGCAATATGCAAGAAACTTGAACGGAGGCATGCGCAGAAGTGTGTCAGCTGATTGTTTTCTGCAAGATTCTTGAAGCCCTTCAAAAACCCTTCAAATAACCCCCCCCCCTCAATGAATTGGATCCATCCGATGTCCATATGGTGAAGGGGGCCCGCTGTAGTCTTGTACCAGGGCCCGGTTTTGACTTGCTACATCCCTGACCTGTTCCTAGAAAAAATATTAAAATATCCACCCCTGTATGTCATGTGCAAACATTGTGAAAAAACCCAAAAAGTGATAAATATTTTTTCTTGTAATGTAGGTATCAATGATTGGGAAGTATTATTTAACTTTAGGTTAGCTGTTTTTTTTTTGCATTTTTGCATTATGATTTGTTGTATCTGTGTTTTTTATATTCCTACCCAGTGATTAGAGTTTCACGTCTGGGTAGCTGTTATAGTAAATCAATGAATAAATAAATGAGGAAATCACCTTGAATCGGTCTCAATGTGACATTGATGTGCAAAAAATAGAATCTTTGGAACACACTGTGTCACCTGCTGTGGTTGAAAAAGAGTGATCAACATTTTTTTGGAATGGGTGAATTATTCAGCAAAAATCTCAAATATTGGAACCTATTTCCAGCTTGAGAAAGAACGGACAATGTCTTTATTTGGAATGAACCACAAAAAGCAAAATTTTCAGTTTCCGACCACATAAAAAGATAATTGTTTGCTCAGATTCTTCTTAATTTGATTTAGATAGGTGTTTTACAAATTTAAAACCTCCAAGTCCAAGGTTATATAGTTTCCGGATGCGTCTCATGAGATACGATAATTTAGTGATATAAACTTCCGTAGAGATTGAGTTGTGACTTTGCAAAAAAAAAATTGAATAAAATTATACCTGGGTGACCCAAAAAATCTAACTTTTCCGATCGACTTGTTCCATACTATTAGTGTAGGAATAACATCACTTTTGCAGACGAGTTATTGCTGATGGGGCATCAGGGCATGGTCAAGTGACAAGAACGTATCTGTCTTGCGAAAAGAGATATCTTCTAAAATCAGAGGGATGGTAAGAAATTGTCCAAAGCATATCCAGGAAAGAGTGGATCCTAACAATTTTTGTTTCAACCAGGCCATGCCAAGGGGTTGCTGCTGATTTGCATAAGCTCAAGCTTTGGTATTTGATTTATGAAAGAATATTATTTAAAATGTTTTAAGGTAGCACTGTCAAACAACATCCAGTTTGTTTTGGAAATGGAAAATGTATTTGCTAAATTGTCGTCGTAGTGATAACGGTTCTCAGTTTCAGGACCAGTTTAATTTTGAATACTCCTGTAGATTTGAACATGTTACAGAAGTCACAATTTTTCACAGGCCGATTTTGCGCTTCCGCAAGAAGAGAGGTTATCCTTAGCCCGTAATCCAGGCTATCGATTCGACGTTCGTTGACGTTGCCGAAAGCGCTGCCCATCATCTCTTTAAGGGAAGGCTACGATTGACCTAGTCTGGTTCTGCGTATTGGTGAAAAAGCGGTACAGTCACAGATGATGTGTTCCATCGTCTCGTATTTTTGATTACAAAGGGGTGCTACTTAAATGCAACCTAAATAGATGTTATCAGGCGCAGCCTTTTTCTGGTCACCGACAGTTTATGGCTTGCTGCAGCTATATCTGGGTAGCTTAGTAGTTCCTTAAATAAATTGTAGCCAATCGTATGGTCCCAGCACTTTTTGAAAAGGAGCGTTTTGATAATATCTTTGGCCGCCGTCATGTTCAGGCCCACAGAAGGCTCTGGTCCAGGAGACTGTAGCCTCGCAACCCTCCTATTTAAAGCATCGGCAGCCCGATTGTCTTTAGTGCGATCGTGCCCTCTGATCTAGCGGACCAAAACCTTTCACTTATCGATGCTTCTGTGAGGGTGCGGTGGCATTGTTGTACTAGTGCTGACTTGAGTCGTGGTCTAGATAGGGCTACTACTGCTTGTCTGCATTCCGTGTAGATGTGCTCGATCTTGTAAGTGATATTGCTGCTGACTAACTGGCTCTGCAACGACTGCAACGATACTTATGACAGTTAGTTCGGTTTGGAGGACATTTGGCATGGAACCAAAAGCTTCATTAGGGTCCAATTTGAGGGTTTTAGAGTATAGTCCATCCACTTGAGAAGATCGATGATTTTAATTTTGCTATATTGACCTGCAACTACTGTGTAGTGTGGGTTCAGACCTGAAATTTTGATGAGCTTCTAGTTTTTTCTTTCAAAATTGATTTATTATCATTGTGATTATAGTTTTGATGAGATCTCAGTCTACATCGTCACCGTGTTTTAAATAACTAGTAGAAGGAACTGACGTTGCATCGTTTCGTCCAAGAAGCTTAGAAAATTCGAATCTTGTCAGATCGAAATCCAACCTAGCTCGATGGTTAAAAATACCTTCCTCCTGTTTTGAAACCACACTGCATGGAAAAGTTTTAGATGGCTATAAACTAACCCTGTGTCATTTCCCGATTAACTGCTGTCATCTTTTGAGGTAAATATATACCATGGCCATGGCTATTTCAAATGGCTTCACGATTTGAACTTGAAAATTATATTCAATATTATTGATTTGAATTGTTTTAAACTTTTGACGCTTTTAGAGTCAACTCGTTGCAAACACCTAGGTACCTTATTGTGCAAAATTCAAAGTTCAACTACAGATCAATGCGTGAATTCAAAAAAATCATCCAATTACTTGACTTTGTTTCGTTATTGTCACGGCTCTAGCTTGCGTGGCAAAAATCTCGGGTCCGTTTATTCCAAAATCAAAGTCCAATTAACACAGCAATAATTTATTCCACGTTACTATACACTCTGACACTAATGGTACTTCACTAATTAACTCAAACAACTTAACTCTTAACAATATTCACTATCTTAATCGTATAACAGCCAAACTTAAACTTAAAACTACTAACTAAAGAAACAAAAATTCTGTTAAGCTGGCAAATTAATGGAATTTCGTACAGCTGGTTACATCCCTCTGCGCCTACCTCAGTCCAACTTCTTTTAGTTGCACCACCAATTTCATTCATGATTATTCATCAAAAAATATTATATAAAGCATATTTTTTCTAGAACGAAAAAGAAAATGTTCGCACGCTAAGAATTTTTGGCCAGACTCAACGTAGGAAAAATGTACACGTACATTTTATCTCTTAAGTGGTTTAGTTAACAAATAGCGCCTGGTTTCCCAGCTGCGTTCTTTCAAGGTGGAGTCTCGTACTGTTTCAGTTCAACATTATTTATGTTTAGAGCCCGTAAAATTATACCTAAATCTGCGCACATTGTAATTGCAATACTTACCTTTATTACACCGCCTGAGGCTTGAAGATAGGTATCTTAGCAATTTCTAAAAACTCCATCATGGAAAAGTATCTCAATATTATTGAGTGCGAGAATGTATGAAATTTATGAGATGCATCTTTGAATAATTTTAAAAAAATGCTTCAAGAAGTCAATATAAAATTCATAATTTGGTTATGTGATAGATAATAGAACTTTTGGTTTGCTTTGTCGCCCACGAATTTGATTTTCATCCCTTAACATTTATTATTTATTGATTTAGCAATAATAATTTTTGTATAATTCCTAAATGACGTTATTATATTTTCAGTTGGTTCATTTGTGTGGTCACACTTACACAATATCATCAAATCAGCAAATCCATTGAAAGTTGAGATTCAAAGTTTGCTATCAGAAGAAGATTTAATTGAAAAATTCAGTGGAGATATCAGAAAATTCTCACATAATCGAGAATTTTCTTTGTACTTTGATGAGTATAATTTTGGTAAGCATCAAATGTTTTTATTTATGTAAATAAGTATCCTAAAAATAAATATTATTAATTAAAAATGAACCTTGGTAATTATGCACCATAATTCCCGGATTTTCTTGAATGGGATACTAAAACTAATAATTTTAGAAGAAAATCCAAATAAAATTTGATAACAACTAAATAAGATGTATTTTTGTGTTACGAAAAGATAATGCATGTTTCGAAATTTGTTTGCGAACCATTACATTTTTTACCGTCATAACTCATTTTTTCTTCACAGGTGGAAACTACGAGTCTAATGTATTATTTTCACCCTCATCCTATATACCGAGGAGCGCCATGGTAAATCTCACAGTTGATTTATTTGGGAAATATGTCAACCTTTTAGAGGTAATATTTTATAGAATAATTACTAGCTTTTTTCTCACCATATTTCTTTTGGTTTAAAAGGTACAGGGAAGAGTGGAGGGCTTTGAGCACTATTTAGAATCGTTTTTTGGACCCGGGGGACGGGCCAACGTTATCAAAGAAAAAATGGAGGAATATAAAATGAGATGGATTAGAGAAGCATCAGAAAAAAACTTAGTTGAAAATAACGTGCAGGACATCGCTGATGCCGTTGATAATTTGGAAAAAAATCCCAAAGTACGTACCTAGTTATTTATTGTCAAATTGGCCTGAAGGAGTAAAAGGTTTAAATTAACCACAATAAATTATAAGTCTTTGACTGCTAGGATTTTTTTAAAAAGTGCATACTTTTTTACAATCTTTGTTGATGGTATTTTTCTTGTTAGTTCATTGAACTTAAATCAATCGTGCGTGTTTCTTAAAACACTTACAGGTGAAGTATGCTCTTGTTGACGAATGTTAAATAAAGTTGATTGGTTGTTTAAATTAAAGTAAAAATTGAAATTAAAATTAAAGTTGGACAATAACGTACTATTTTGGTTTTAAGTAGGTAGCCCCCTAACCATATAATTTGTCGAGTTCGATTGAAAACAATTGGTTGCAGTGGCGTTGATAGCTTTTCGCGAGGGGGGGGGGGATTTGATGAAGGTATTTAATTCCATGAAGATCTATTTTTACTCTATTAATACGATTAATACAATTTGATTTGATTGATACACTTGATCCCTCCCACTATCTACGCCACTGATTAGTGGCCTTCAATTTGTGTGGTTTTATTTGAGCTCATTCAGGGATCGGATGCTCCAAGAACTATTCACGTGAGCACAAAGCACAAAAATCACATTTTGAATTATTGCCCTTTAAGTAATTTATTTTAGTTCAAGGGATTGCGCTTTATACCAATAAGCGTGTATATAGATATTTTTCAGATCATTCAATTTATAATCAGCTATAACTGGTCTATGTAACAATACGAAACTTTGATGAATAAATTATAACGAAATAGTCAGTTTTAGTGAACCCGGAATCCGTGAAAATTTGGTGTCGGATGTGCGATTATTAGTAAGACAATTGGTGCATTAATTTGACCTAATTAGTAGGATCATTTAGTAAGATAATTGATGGTGCATTAACTTGAGATGATTAGTGAAATAATTGGCAGGATAACTACTGAACTAATTTGAGTTAATTAGTGGGATTATTAGCTTACAAGTTGGTGTATTAATTGGAGATAATTAGTGCGGGAAAAATCAGTTAAGTTTTATTGTACTTGTATTGAAAAAGTGACTTTATTACCGGACTTACATCGATAAACAAGTTCACAGGCGGCTTTTCTGGAATATTCTACAAACTTCCATAGAATTCTGTTTGGAAACCGTTAGTGATACAAAAGTAGTAGCTTTATTACTGGCTTTGACATCGAAAAACAAGCTTACAAGCGGAGTTCTATAAAGTTCTACAGACTTCTATTTGGAAACCGTGATTGATACAAGAATAGTGACTTTATTACTGGCTTCAACATCGGAAAAGAAACTGAAAGGCGAATTTTCTGGAAACTTTTGAAAAAGTTTTATAGAATTCTATTTGGAATTCGTGTGTGATACAGGAATAGTGACTTTATTACTGATTTCAACATCGAAAAACAAGTCCACAAAGTGATTTTTCTAAAACAATCCATTGTATTCTGTTTGGAAATTGGACTTCATTCACAGAACTTCCAATTTAAAAGCAAATCCAGAATACTCTTTGGCAAATACTCGACAGCAAAAGCCGAAATGGAGCTTAATCAAATGTTGGCGAACGTCATGAAGAATTTTGAGGACAAAAGATAAGAAGAAGCCCGAAGACAGGCAGAAAAACAAGAAGAAGACCGAAGGCGAAAAGAACAGGACCGGCTTGCAGCACTCAGGACCGCCGGAAGGATTTCATTAGATTTTTTATTTGAAATAAGGTAACTCTATAAACCCGAGCCCGGGCCCCCAGGTCTCGCAGGTCCCGGGAATTTGTCCCATTTGTATCCCCTCTTGTCGGGTCTGGCAGCACTTATACAACAACGAGAAGACCAGAGACAGAAAAAAAAAACAAAAAGAAGAAGACCGAAGACAGAAAGAAAAACAAGAAAAACAGGACCGGCTTGCAGCACTTCTACAATAACAAGAAGACCGAAGACAAAAAGAAAAACAAGAAGAAGAAGATCGAAGACAGAAAAAAAACGAAGAAGAAGAAGATCGAAGACAGGAAGAAAAACAAACCGACTTCAAATTTCAACGTGAACGGATGAAAACCGTAATCGCTGAGGAACAAACTAGACACGAGAAAATTCTGAGAGTACAAAGTAAGCAATTCACAAGTGCAGTGGAAGAAGTACGTGAGGTACGTGGGAATGTTCGTTAGGAAGTTCGCCAAGAAATGGATAGTTTTGATAAGAAGATTAAAAAATTGGAATGTGACTTGAGGTCACACCTGGTATTGAAGTTACCTAAGCCACCACCATATGACGGACAGACATCGTGGGCCATGTACAAACGTCAATTCGAGACTGTGGCAATGGCTAATGGTTGGAGCTCCGACGACATGGCTACAGGCTTGATTGTAGCATTGCGAGGCCCTGCATTAGACATATTAAAAACTATTTCGCCAGCTTCCCAAGAAAACTATGATGCGCTTGTAGATGCGTTAGAGCGTCGTTATGGAGATCAACATCGACATGGACATGCGCTTGACATATCAAATATTTGGGAAATTTAAGGAAAGCTGTGATATGTAAAAGAAACGAAAAATTTGTGAAACGTCTACTTTATTATTGAAGTAAATCGTACCGTTCTCGTCCTGGAATTCAAGAGGGGAAAGAGCACGGCAGAGAAACCCTCGATCTCAATTCCTCGAACATCGAAACATACTGTGACATTTTAATAATAATTGTGAGTCATTAATCAATAACCAATAATTTAAGTCAATTATTCAATAATTCAATAAAAGTTTAAATTAGGTACCATCCATTGTCATTGTACCAAAATTTTAATTCCAAACACAACATTCAATCAACACTATCTATATTCAATACTGAAGAGTTTTTTGGTTAGTTAGCCAGTTTCCCAGCAGGTACTGAGGTCCCATACGGGAAGCTACTCAGCTATAGTTGTTTTTGAGCCAATATCTCTAGACTGATTCTTCAATTTGTTTGCTAGGATATTTGCTCCTTAGGATAGGAAAATGTAAATTCAACAAGGCCCCAATGCACGCTCTGAATCCAAAAATCAAAATCCCAGCACAAAAGACAGCACATAATTTCTTTGGTTTTTTAATTTACTTTTTATCTGTGTTGTTTACAGCATGAAACGATTTTTGTTAAATACTTAAACAATGCACATGGTATAAAAAATGTTATAAAACAAACGAAAAATACATAAAAATGAAAAAATAATACCTGTATAAATTGAACTCTCAAAAACAAAATAACAATTATTCAACTGACCTTGTGAATGCTCCTGTTGACACCCAAACTAATCACAAATTGGATTGAACAATCAGTTTAATACAAAATAAAAATAAAAATTGAATAATGAACAACGGCAGACAAGCGTCTTAAGGGACCAGTCCAGCTTCTTCTCTCTAGTTTCGGTACTTTCGTTTTCTCTGGCGCGCCCCGTTCAACCCTAAAGCCCAATTTATGCCCAATTTATAAACTCACCGGCGAGCGTTAACGTTTGCGTTTAGCACTCCGTTACCAAGTGAATATAGTGCAGGAAAAAGTCGCTTCCTTCATGATTTTTTTTTTTGGAGGTATAACCAAATGAAACCTTTATTACATCATTAGATACGTCATTGGACATCCGAAATGGCTGTTTTCAACTTTTTTAACGGTACTGATTATTTCTAAATCAAAAAATATGTAAAATTTGTGAAAATAATTGTTTCGTACTTTTTTACACATAACTCGCAATATCTCGGAAACTAATTGAGATAATTGAACAATTTTTTTTCAATCGATGGAGAAAATGTGGACGAACGTAACTGTGCTAATTCGGTTTCCTCGAAATACATAGTTTTTTCTGCATATTGGGAGGAAACTCGGACAGATAGTTTTTTGCAGCACTTTTTTCAGTAAGCGAGAAACTTTTTTGTTTTAAGGAATTTTGCCATACTATCTGCGAATGAATTAAAGCTAAGGCTTCGAGAAAGTTTTTTTAAAAAACCGCAGTACGATACGATGTCTACTGTTCAAGTTATCGGTACTTGAAGTTGAAAACATCTCTGGCCACGCTACCCTTCTCCCTTGACGCGCCTCCTGTGCGAGTTTCCTCATATTATGCAGACAAAACTATGTATTTCGAGGAAACCAAATTAGCACAGTTACGCTCGCTCATATTTCCTCAATCTTTTTAAAAAAAATTGTTTAATTATCTCAATTAGTTTCCGAGATATTGCGAGTTATGTGTAAAAAAGTACGAAACAATTATTTTCACAAATTTTACATATTTTTTGATTTAGAAATAATCGGTACCGTTAAAAAAAGTTGAAAACAGCCATTTCGGATGTCTCCGTGAAATAAGCGAAAACAATCGTCCGCTGCCTCTATGTCGGTGGAAAAATCGTCCGATAGTGCCTCCTAACGCGTTTATGCTCGGTATTTTTATCTTGCTTGATCCCACCAGCGGACGGCTTTTCCACCGACATACAGGCAGCGGACGATTGTTTTCTTAAATCTCAATAAAAACAGTAGATCTCATCAAAATTTCAAGCTTTAGGAAATGGTTTTCATAATTACGGTTTTCGGCCCCTTTTGGGCCATCAGCGGACCCTGATTCCACCACCGCCCATCCAGCGGACCATATCTAGGATACTTTATGTAACATAACCTTCTTCTCGCGAAAGTTTCGTGCTTTAGGAAATCGTTCCAAATTTTGTTTTTTTCCCGACTTTGCAACCCCCTAGCAACCCTCTCCACCGCTACCTAGCCAGCGGACGCCCCTCTGGCATCTCAGCGTCATAAATACTATAGGTTAATCATGAAACGGAGCTTTAGGAAATCGTACGCTATTTTGTAAGCGAGAGGCAGGGGTATAACGCTCGACGGTGAGTTTATAAATTGGGCTTAAACTTGACGGTGCATACATGGTTGCAACATTCACTTTTATTCAGTAAACGTTTTTTTAAGAAGTTAAGATTCAAAGAAATAATATTTTAAATAGGTGGTTTTCCTCACTAGTTAGCTCAAATTTATATGTTATCATTTATCTCGCTATACCACTTCTTGTCACAAAAGCCGCTGGTCCACTAAAACTCTTTTTACTAAAATTAACAACTTTTATTGAACCAATTGACTTTCACTCATCACTTCTCGCTTTCTCAGAGCTTATTATACAATAATTCTCTTACTCAAACTGACTGCGCTTTACAAACTACGGCCTTCATATGCCAAACCAGTGAACCGAGAAAAACTCTCTAGGAATCTCGCTATTTCTTGTTCACCTTAGTTCAACTCAATGCAAGGGAGCGAATGGGGATGAATTCCTTCGATATTGCCACGTTTAACTATACAAAACCAAAAATACTAGACATGAAGTATAGTGCATTTGAAAATCCAGTTTTTAATTACAAAATATCGATTATAGGAAAACGATAAATATTTTAACGTGGTTGTTAGATACCTACATTCCTATTTAATAACTGATTTCTTCAATTCTGTCTATTATAAAAGGTAAACATTTTCTATAGATAGGTACCATCAGCTTTGTCAATTCTTCCGGCGTGGACAATGCGATTGGTGGAGTTTTTCGCACGATCGCAGTTGCCATGGGGGTTTCGTCTTTGATGAAATATCGACTTATATTGAAATATTCAGTGGCGGTGGTTTGGTCATTGTCGATTTTCGTGTATAAGTTGCAAGATGATATACTTTCAAAAAATTCCGCAGGCCGCTGGGTATTTTATGAATGTAATCAGTCATGTTTTATTACAACTGCATTCTCCTCAAAGATGCCCCGATTCTTCAGATTCGTTGGTCAGACTATTGATATTCCCGCACTGGTGGTGCATGGTGGCGCCCGCTTTCCGCGCAATGTAATTTAGTAACAATATTTATTTATTTCTTGTGCTAATATGTTGAAAAGCACTCTCGTACTTATTAGCAATCAGAAAAGTTGTACTTTGGGACCAAAGTAGTAACAACATTCTATAATAATTATCTTTTTTGAAATCGTTGTTTTTTTCGGTTTTTTCGGTTTTTAAGCAAATTTACCATGACTTTTTTTGTAAGCTGGGTTGCTATTTATGCCTAAAAGTATATCATATCATTTTACAGGTGGCACTTGGCATCAAAATCTTTGGAAATGATTTGAAATATGCGACTTTCAAAGGCGACGGAGAAATCAAGCAAGCGATGGAATATTTCAATATTCTGACCTATCTGAAACAGATTCTATCTGGAAAGGTAAGAAATCATTTCATATTTTAAGCTTAGGTGTTTCCACGAAATAGAAAAGCATTCATTAGATCAATAAAAAAGACATTACAAATTGCTGTGAAAGAACACACACCGCAAACGAAAAGAACAAAATTAGGAAACCAATTAATGTTACCAAAAATCCAGATAAAACTCAATAAAATCATTGCACACAAATGATCTGGTGAGGCAAGCCTTGATGCCATGCAATGATTTGAATATTTTGAATGGCAAATCTGAATTTTTTTTGTTAATTGGTGATCGTAGATAGAAGTTTTAGAACATTGCTTCTGATACTCTTCAGATATAATTATCTTGTGAAAAAAAATATTGTTGCACTAAACTACTTTCGTAACTGAACGAAAACAAAGTAGACAATAACAGATAAGCTGGAATTAAAAAATTAAACCTAATTTATTTGTGAAGTTTCATAACAAAAGAAAAACCTTCAGATAAACGAAAACCCTATAGAGTTACTTTATTACAAAATGATTGCTCGCATTATTTAATGTCTCATTATTCAAAAGCCGCCCATAAATCATTTTATAATACTCTTTTAATCTCTTTCCATTCTTTTTCTCTCCGCAGGAAATTATGTACAAGAAAGCCACAATGTTTCTTGACAGCAACTACGTAGTTCCCAGTGGAGCTGGGCTCCCGTTGTTTATCTCAGCTTTGGGCACAGCATCAGTCAATATCAAATTATTTGGTTCTTTAAAAGCAGCTGGTTTCTCTCAAAAAAAGGAACTAGATTTGGTAGCTAATTTTGAACCAACAGCTGCTATAGATATCTCGGCTGAAATGTCTTTGAGCGCCTTCTATGAAAGCACGGGAATCAAATTGAAAACAGATATGCAGTCTTCTATTGCAGTAAAAGGAAATATCGAAATAAAGGGTGCCAAGCTAGTCAGCGTCAAATTCAGTTTACCGAAGAAAAATGTTAAGATTTTTGGTGCCAGGTAATTAATTGATAATTTTATTATTAATTTAATATTTATTAATTAGGTATTTAAGAAAAAATAGGTAGAATCAGACAAAAGCATTTTAATATTTTTAAGGCCAGAAGTATCGTTTTCTGTCATTGGGAGCCATGGTCTGTCAATTGACTACTTTTCTCGGCTCATCCTCGTTGGTTGTTGGGCTTGCGGTGCTTTTTCTTGCTGTTCAAAAGATGATCAGATCGCTAATCGCTGCCACAAATAAAAACACGCTGGTTTCGATGGTTTACAACATTGTTTATTGAAAAAATTCATTGAACATTAGCTGTTACGCTCTCAAAGTAAGAAAAATGATACATTAAAAAAAAATGCAATGGCTGCAGAACAGCGCCCAGCTCGAGAGTGAGTTAGTTCTCTTCTCGCGCGGGGATGAAAATCAAAATGAAGATGGGCAACGTTGCCGCTGATATAATTTTTCTTGAGACGCGACATGCCGCCGGCCTTGAAATCTCCTAGTTTCAAACAAAAGAAAAAACATAATAACTCTTAACTTATTACTAACTATGAGCTAAGACATTAAATTAAAAAAAAAAAAAACATAATTCTGTAAATTAGAAAAGAGAAAAAAAATTAATGGTTACTAACCTCAAAAACGAATAAACTAATAATTAGTATTTATATCAACAATAATATACTTGTTTAACTTTAACAAAAGAGACTTATTAAATAAAATAACTCAAACAGCTTGACGTTTACAAAGTCTAAATATAATCACGGATCAATAGGGAGCACACTTAGTTTAACCACAGAACGCTTGAATAGCCCGTCCTTAGTTTTTACAGTTACCACACGAATCTTATCGTCGGAACCAGGATGCACTGCCACAATTCTACCCAGTTTCCATAACATGGGCGGCAAATTGTCCTCGTGTAGGATTACACACTGTCCAACCTTGAAAATGTTCGACGAAACATGCCACTTGCATCTTTCTTGTAACGTGTGCAAATAGCCCTTTGACCACTTATTCCATAATTGTTCAAACAAAAAGCGCAAATGTTTATAATTACACTGCATTGTTTGTCTAGTGTCGGTGATAGGTGTTTCAGGTAGAGCCAACAGCGAACCACCAATCAAAAAATGACCTGGTGTCAATACCATCAAATCTTCCGGATCCTCAGTGAGGGGCACCAAAGGTCGCGAATTTACCATGGACTCTACTTGTACCAGCAGGGAGTAAAAACTTTCGTAACTTAACAACACCCCCTGACACGTACGTTTCAAGTGAAACTTCATAAGTCGGACTGCCGATTCCCATAGTCCACCTACATGTGGCGACCTGGGCGGTATGAAATGCCAAACGATTCGGCTTTCAACAAGAAAATTCTGAAATTGCACTCCCTTCACCTCATTAATGATGCGTTCCGCACCGACAAAATTTTTAGCATTGTCAGAATAAATATCAGTTGGTAGACCTCTACGAGCTATTAATCTTTTAAAAGCACCAAGAAAAGAATTTGTCGACAACTCCGTCACCAACTCCACATGTACCGCCTTGGATGCAAAACAAATAAAAATACACACCCACGCCTTAATCGATTTGGTATTGCGCAGGTAGCTGTTCTTTATCATATAGGGTCCGGCATAATCAATGCCGCATACGGAAAATGGCCTAGAAGCTTGTACCCTAGGTGCCGGTAAATCACCCATTTTCTGATAACCCAATTTTGGAGATACACGACTACATACAACGCATTTCCTGAGAATCCCTCTAACTGTATTTCTACCCTTTAAGGGCCAGTAATTTTGCCTAATAATCGACAATAGTGTCTGTGGGCCAGCATGAAGGTGCTTAAAATGAAAATGACGGATGATTAATCCTGTAAAAGGACCATCTGATGGCAAAATTACCGGGTGCTTGGCTTCAAAGGGTATATCAGCATTTTTTAACCTGCCACCAACTCTAATAACGCCATGCTCATCTAGAAAAGGATCTAGTCTAATTAATTTGCTTTTGACAGAAACACATTTATCTTTAATTAGGCCCTTTAGTTCGACTGAAAAATAACTTTTTTGAACCATTTTAATAACAACGTTTGTAGCATTGTCTAATTCAGTAAAACTAAGATCGCCTGTGAATATTTTTTCAGATTTGGATTTTAAACTTAAATTATTTTTATATCTGAGAAGATAAGCAACAACGCGAATTAATTTTCTAAACGATGAATATTTCTCAATTATTTCGTTTTTAATAGGATTAATAGGAGTATGTGCAATTAAAACATTTTCTATTGTTTTTACCTCAGGAATATCAGCACTTATTGTGGGTTCAATATTTGGCCAATAATCAGGCGTTTTATGTAAGAAGTCAGGCCCTTGGAACCACACGTCTAAGGTTTGAATTTCGTGAGGGTCAACACCACGTGATACATAATCAGCTGGGTTACAGGTAGTAGGCACATGACGCCATTGGTCAGACCTTGCAAATGCTTGAATTTTTGAGACTCGGTTCGCCACGAAGGTTTTTAATTTATTTGGTTCAGTCGCGATCCATGCTAACGTGATGGTAGAGTCACACCAAAAGTACACGTTGCTTATTTTGATTTTCGTAGCCTCAAGTACTGATTGTGCCAGTTGAACTCCTAACAGGGCACCACATAATTCTAAACGAGGCAGTGACAAAACCTTTAATGGTGCGACCCGTGATTTAGAGGATGCTAAACTTACCTGCACTCGACCTTCTAAATTCACGGACCTAAAATAGATGCAACAACCAAAGGCTGCCTGTGAAGCATCAGTAAACACGTGAATACTTGTTTCAAAATAATTTACCAATAGGATGTTTCTGGGAATTTCTACATTTTCAATCAAATGCAAATTTTTATAAAACTGCAACCAATTAGCCAAAAGATCTGCCTCAAGTGGCTCGTCCCAATCGATTTTCAACTGCCACAATCGCTGCATAAATATTTTTGCCTTTAGAATAACGGGACCTAAAAGCCCTAGCGGATCAAAAATTTGACTTATCACCGATAAAATTACTCTTTTTGTAAAAATACTTTGAGATTTTGAATTTACAACATATTTTAAAATGTCACTAGAAGATACCCAAACTGTACCTAAAGTCTTGTTACTTTGCTCATCTTTAATAATATATTCGGATTTAGTTGAATTATTATTTGACTGTTCTATATACTTTAAAATCCGTTGATCGTTAGAAGACCACTGGCGTAAGTGGAAACCGGCCGCGCCCAAAATGCAATTGACATTTTTTATTAAATCTAAAGCGGACTCAATGTTATTTGTACCAGTCAGCCAGTCGTCCATATAAAAATCTTGTAAGATAGACCTTGCAGCATCTGGATATTTATCTTGATTATCAATGGACAGTTGTTTTAGGCACCTGGTGGCCAAAAAAGATGCTGGGGCGGTACCATACGTGATAGTATTTAATTTATAAATATCTAACTGGTCAGTTGGATTAAAACGCCACACTATTTGTTGAAATTTACGGTCGTCTTCGTCAATATAAATGCACCGATACATTTTGGCGATATCAGCACTAACCACAATAGCATGCATTCGAAAGCGCAACAGTATCGCAAATAAACTATCCTGGATACAGGGTCCAGTTTTCAATGCATCGTTCAGAGAAACTCCCGAGGTTGATTTGCACGACGCGTCGAAGACTACACGCAATTTCGTAGTGGTCGATGAATCTTTCAATACGCAATGATGCGGTAAAAAATAATTAGGTTGTAATTTAACGAAATTAGTGTTAACAAGAGTCATGTGTCCCAACCTTATGTACTCAGCCATGAATTCGAAGTATTTTTCCTTTATATTACAATTTTTATTTAACTTTCGCTCCAAAGCTTGAAACCTATTTACAGCGATTTCATATGACTCGCCGAGATTGACAATATTTTCGCGAAACGGTAAGCGGACTGTAAAGCCAGATTCGTTAATAACGAAAGTATTTTTGAAATGATTTTCAACTTCGATTTCTTCAGCGGTGAGTATCATTTTCTTAGGACACTCCTCCTGTAACCAAAATTTTTCTATTTGATGTTCGATATTATTGGAAGTTTTCGCAAAATTACAACGCGAGGATTTTTGTGGATGTACAGCACTAAGCGCGCCTGCAACTATCCAGCCCAATTTTGTATTTTGGAGCAAGGGTCGATTTTTTCCCAAGCCTATTTGCCTACCTGCCCCTAAAAGGAGGTCAATTTTACCAGATTCGTCAAATTTCGAATCCGCCAGGTTGATATTGCATGGAATGCTTAAATTAGACGTATCTAAGTTAACCTGAGGTGTTTGTATTGTTATTTTGTCGGAAACCAAAAACTGCAAATCAAATTGGTGACCAGAACTTAAAGATTTTATTTTAGCTTCAATTAAATTAGAAATTTTGCCAGAATGGCCATTGATGCCAATCACGTCAATATTTACCTTTTTCGGTTCAATATTCAGAACATTGAAAAGTTCTCTACTAACAAAGTTTGACTGCGATCCCGCGTCCAAAAGTACCCTACAAACAAAAGGTTTGTTTTCATGATCGAAAATATGCACGAGTGCAGTTGATAAAATAACAAAAGAATTATTGCTCCGACTATTAAATGAATTTATTGAATTATTATCGTTATTTTGATTTTGTGAGCAAGACGCAACAGAAGAGTTTTCGTGTTGAACAGCTTCGTTATCTACAGTCGTCGAGGTAGCTGATGACTGTGTGTTTGGATAAGTTCCAGTGCCGTGCCCATTATTTTCGCGGTTTTTGTTTTGATCTTGGAAACCTGACTTGTTAGATGCAGCATTACCCAAATGCAAGAGACTATTGTGCTTGTTCCCACAAATTCTGCACGGCCTGGAACGGCAATCGATACTCAGGTGACCCTTTCGTAGGCAATTGGTGCAAGCCTTCAATTTTCGAATATTGTTTAATCTATTGGAACGAGATAATTTCTGAAATTCATCACAATAATAAATTGAATGATTACCCTTGCAAAAGATGCAAAACAGGTTGTTATTAGAGCTGGCAACAATGTTGCTCTGACATTTATTAAATGATGGTTTTTTATTTACTACCTGCGAATTATTCTGATTATTTGACTTGGTATCAACGGACCCCAATATTTGACACCGTTCTCTCAAAAATGTGAAAAAAGACTCTATGCTTGGCGAAATCTCATCTATTGTTTTGATTTCCCATTCTTTTTTAGTGTTGACATCAACCTTAGATAATAGAAGATGTATAAGGATGGTGCTCCACGAGTCAACTGGCTCGTTAAGATTTTTTTTTTTAAGCTCTAAAATGCTTCTGTGTATTATCCAAAAATGACCTGAGAGAAGTAAAAGAGTCTTTGTTCACATTTTGCAACTCAAAAAGTTGTTTCATGTGGCTTTTTATTATTAGTTTTTTATTTTCAAAGCGCTCCTGAAGGAGACTCCAAGCTACTGTATAATTGGAGGCAGAAATCTCCAATGACTCAATAATTTGAGCCGCTTCGCCTTTCAATGACGCCTGCAAATAATAATATTTTTGAACATTCGAAAGACTGGTGTTTTTGTCTATGAGTGCTGAAAAAGAATCGTAAAAGGTTTGCCATTTATCAAAAGAACCGTTAAACTCAGGTAATACTATAGGTGGCAATTTAATATTGTTTGGTAAAGCAGGCTGTTGATGTGGTTGTGGAATTGGTGAGGATGTCGTTTGTTGTACCTGTCTGTAATGATTATTAATTAATTCCTTTGCATTTGAAAGTATTTCGCAGAAATCATTCTCAAAATAAGTTCTTTCAAAAGATTCCAGCTCGTTTTCATCCAACAATTCTAATTCAGACTGAACATCATTGAATTCGTCAATTATACTCTCAATTTTTTGAATTCGACTTACGATTTCAGTTATTTTTGCATGGTTATTAGTTTCAAGAATAAATTTTCTAAATCTTGTTAATTTAGCTTTGATTTGACCACGACGAGCAACTAAGCGTGCTACGTTGTTGATATCATCACCAGCATCAGACAGGATTAAATTTTAAATGATTCAATAGGTACAGTATATAAATAATGCAAAATTAATAATTATTTTATTTTATAAGTACCTATGTAGATCTCCACGCCACTGTGCGGAAAACTATGAGACGTAATACGCCGCTTGACAAATAAATTCAGCAAAATAAAGTGAGACAATGCACCGATACACTGCAAGATAAACTAAGAAAGTGTGAAACAAAGCTAGTGAATTTCAAAATTAACTTGTTGCAACCTGTTATTTAAGCTGTGCTGTTATCTTGATAAACTGATACCGATACCAATTTATTTTATTTTATTTTTTAGTAAATGAACTATAGGAAAAGGGATGATATAATAAACAGTAATTTTTTATTACGCAAATATTGAAAAAACAATAAACCACGCATCAAAGTGCGTTGTGTTAACCTTTGTATAAACTTTCATGCATTATTATTCATTTTAAACCCCTTTAAATACAAATAGAGCACATAAGCAAATTTATTAGCGCCACTTTTATTGGCAAATAATGGTAAAATTGGAAAGGACTCACAGATTTCCTTATTTCCGTGTGCTTGATCCAAACCATTCCTTGTACTTCACTTTGCAATTGCATAAACCATCCGCCGTGAAGGACCAAATTTATGTTGGGCTTGCGGTGCTTTTTCTTGCTGTTCAAAAGATGATCAGATCGCTAATCGCTGCCACAAATAAAAACACGCTGGTTTCGATGGTTTACAACATTGTTTATTGAAAAAATTCATTGAACATTAGCTGTTACGCTCTCAAAGTAAGAAAAATGATACATTAAAAAAAAATGCAATGGCTGCAGAACAGCGCCCAGCTCGAGAGTGAGTTAGTTCTCTTCTCGCGCGGGGATGAAAATCAAAATGAAGATGGGCAACGTTGCCGCTGATATAATTTTTCTTGAGAAGCGACATTGGTAATGCCCGAAAACATGCAACTGGAAACAAAAATTGGTAACTGTGGAGTAAAGAGGGCCGCAAGAAACATGAAAAATAACAAATCGTCGGAAAAAGAAGGGAAGGTTTTGAAAAATTACAGGCTCATGGCCAAAACCCCACTAGATGTTATGTGTTATGTATAAACTATTAACAAAATATTAACATAGAAATTTCACAACTATGAGGCAAAATGACAAACTGGTTCCAGAAAGAGGTTCAGTACAAGGAACCGTAGACCAAGGATGATAATATTGATAGAAAAAGCTAACAAGTATCAAATCTCGTTACACCTACATGGCATGGCCGTCTGTATTTCACTTTCTTTTCTTATATTTAATGCCTGATACGTGTATCGATCATCTTCCCCGACTTCGGTTCCGTTACGAGTTGGTGGTTTTCTGGACGTTTTGTTTCTTTCATTATCTTTGTTTTCTTCATATTCATTCTTAGACATATTTGAGGTTATGAAGTCTTCGCCCTCCTATGGTAATGCCAAAGTTTTTCCACGTTAGTTATTTGATAGTACTCTCTATAGTCAACGTGAACAATTTCAGATACGTCAGTCTCTCGTCACTTTTAATTATTTTCTGAAACCAACTTTTTCGTTATGACTTTGCTCAAATTTGTTTGTTGGTCTGGTATTGAATAATTTGATAATCAGCTTAGTGGAACGGATTATCGCATTTTCCCAGTCGTTTGGTAGGTAATTTTCGTTGTTCAGGGGATTTGTCTAAACATTTCTTGAGTTTCTCTATAAGGTATTTTCCCCGTATTTTATAAGATCTAGTATGGTAATATGTCCTCCTGAAGCTCTTTTTAATTTAGCTTTATTTCCTCTATTGCCGTCTTTTCTATATTATGTCTAATGTGAATGGTTTGCTAATTTATGACGTTATAGACCTGTCTTTTCTTCATTTCATTTATTACATTTGAGTTCGATTTATTTTGCTTTTCAGGACCTTGAAGCTATTGTTTTCTTCAGTTGTTCTTTCTAGCAACTTTTTTTTTCATTTTCGATTTATTTCTAATTTACTTTTTGTTCCTTTTGTACATTGTTATCTATTTCTATGTTAGCAATCACCATTCTGTGATCACTGCGCTTTGGTGATCGATCCACTATGGTTGCATCTATGATTCAATATGGTTCCTTGAACCAGTAGGTACCGTTGAATAGTTATCGATGAAAAAAAAAATGGATGATGGTTTTATGACCTGCCCTATAATGGCTACACTCTGTATACATGTGAAATAATCTAAATTATTATCATTCAATAATTCAATATATCTACCTATATATCAACCAACAGACGGATAATCAAGCATCTAAAAGTTAACGCCATTTAAAAACGAACAAGAGATTACCACGAATATAGAAGCTTCTTGAATATGTAGGTACCTACCTCACTTTCTACATATCCAAGGGTATGTAGAAGGTAGAAGCTTCTGCAAAGCTATAGACATGTTAACTTTTTAACCTAATAAATCATTCCTTTTTGTCACAAATATTCAATAAAATTAGAAAGGAAGTTTTCTAAGTCAGTATTTTTAATTTATTTCTAAAACAATATTTTATTTTTAGATCTGAGCTCCTAGTTAGACAAAAAAATATTGAAAACCCGCAAACTGGTCTCCAAAAAACTAGTGTTTCCAACTCCATGTGCTCATGGCCTGCCATTTCTGAGGCTATTGGACTAACACTTTGCACTGATTATAGCTATAGAAATTCAACAAGCATATTCAATGCTCCCGACTTCATTTTGGCGGGACCAGCAAATTTTCAAATATACGTTCAGAAATCAGACCCCACAGCTAACATATATTTGTTTGAGTATAAATGGAAACAAGCTCATGATTTGGATGTAATCTCTCTGACATTTGATACACCAGGATCCGAAGTAAATAGGCTTATGCACAGTAACTTTACCATGAGTAAGGATGGTCATAACTTGACAATGTTGATGCAATCTTCTAGTGGTATTATACTTGCAAGGGGTGTTATAAAGAATACAGAGGAGCAAAAAGTTTTTCAAGTAAGTTCATCATACAACGGAAAGAAAAAAAAAATATATTTCTCTTTCCAGATGGTGCTGGACATAAACGATAAAAAACACTTCGATACCAGTGTCGGTTATGATAGATTCAAGAAAGTCAATGGCTATATCTATAAACCGAAACTGTATATTGGCGTCAACGGGGAGCGTGTTGTAGAACTAAAAGGTAAGGTAGAAGATAGCCAGAACAGGTACATTATAAGCAGACAAAGTATTTCGTTATTCAGTACAAATAGTACATATAACAAAGGTGAGAACCTTCCAGAAACTAGTAGCAGAATGAAAATATGACAGTGAAATGCTGCTGTATGTGAACATCAAAACTATCCCACCGGATTATATACAAATGCATACATGCAAATGCGTATGTGCAAATCTTGGAAGCAGAGAAAAAATGTTTTACCATATTCTCCGTGACAGTTTCTAATATCTTTACCTATATCTTTAAAGAATCCCACATTCTACGCGGAAATTTCGCGCGTCACTCGCGGATATTTATGTCGTGTCGCTTAAAATTCGCATCATATTCATAGGGCAACAAATTCAATTGCATTTTATTTGCAGCGGATTTTGATTAATCATACTGGAATAAGAGAAGAATTATATGGAAATAAACTACGCGTCAATTGAACTCGAACACCCCAATTTTTGGTCACTTTTTGAAAGGCTATAACTCAAAATCTAGCAGGCCGATTTTGTTCAAATTTTCAGGAGTGAAAGGATGCTCTAATTGCTATTTAATTTCCAGTTCTTACCAGATTTCCGGCCACCTGCTAAAAGATACAGGGTGAAACATAAGTTGGCGATTTTTTGCGAAAGTTTGGGTTCACCCCATTCTGCTGGAGGGAGGGTTAAGGGGATTTTTGGTATGCAGTTCAGAAGAGTACCTTAGTACCTCGGGATGTTTTTGAGATTTTTTGAATATCGCAGCCCACTACGATTTTATCTCGAGTTATGCGATTTTATGTAAAATATAGCTATTGACGTCATTATTTCTTTCGAAACAAACACTACAATTATGGCGCATGTGGAAACACACTTTAAAACATATTATACAGGGTCATACAAAAATATACAGGGTGTCTATTTTTCTAACCAGAGGTATCTTTGTTATTATTAAAGATACGAGGTTGGTTAAATTAGGGCAAAGTCGTGCAATTTTATGGCCAATAAAATGGGGTTTAACACTAGCACCGCTGCTTATAGACATTGCAGGTGGTAAACCAAGAATTACTTCGGCCCGGGATGACAACAGAGTTCTTTCACCCAGGGCGACAAAACAGAGCTATCAATTCTTCGCAAATAAGGATCGTGTTAGGAATTGAAGCCTCAAAATCACTAATTCAAAGACGTGTCCATGAGAGAAATTCAAGGGCCAGAAAACATGTCAATTATTAAAAGCAGTCCATCGAAGAGCACAAATAAACTGGGCTAATATTCATAGGGGGAGCAGCTGAATGGTAGGGATGTTTGTTTGTGGATGAATGCAGATTCACGTTGTATCAGAATGACGGGCGTGTATTAGCATGTAGAGAAACGCGAAACGCGTGAGAGCTATAGAGAAGAATGCATGGAAGAGAGGCTTTTGGAGGTAGTGGCGTGACAGTTTGTAGGGGGGGGGGAGGTTATTTATCGGAATGGGTAGACTGAACTGATAATTTTAATGAAAGAAAGTATGAATGAAGAACGGTACCGGGATTTGTGTGTAAAGGCGGTTACACACGGACGTGGATGTCTGAAAACATGTACGCACATACATGAACGCACGAACAAAAACATGAATGTGTATGCAGAATACCATCGCGTTTTTGAATCTGCAAGCGGTAGAATGACGGTCAGGTGAATTTCTACGCATCAATCGAACTCGAACACCCCAATTCTTGGGTCACTTTTTGTAAGACCATAACTCAAAATCAAGCAGGCCGATTTTGTTTAAATTTTCAAGAGTGAAAGGCTGCTCTAATTGCTAATTAATTTCCATTTGCTAACAGATTTCTGTGGGGCGCCATATGTTCCATAATTATTTCGTCTTATATGTAAAATATTTTGCAGGAAAAACAATATATAGATAAAAATGACCACTATTTTGCATATATTTAAAATAAAAAATAATATTTATATCGAATTTAGCAGCATGCAAAGTTCGATATATATAAAATAACTTTGAAAAAATAAATATATTGAATTTGGCCCCATGCAAAATTCAATATTTATAAAACTTAAAAAAATATTATATATATCGAATTTGGCACCGTGCAAAGTTCGATATATATAAAACTTTGGAAAAATATATATATTGAATTTGACCCATGCAAAATTCAATATTTATAAAATATGAAAAAATATTATATATATTGAATTTGGCATTGTGCAGAGTTCGATATAAAACTTTTTAGTTTGAAAAGTCCCCGAGAGATGGCGCTACCTTTGATCATAATTTTTTTTTGTGTATGGTGTGTTGGATTGAAATAAGATATTTTGGAGGGCCGTTGATTTGTAATTTAAATAGCTGCAATTAGGGTGCATTGATAATTGCGTGATGATAATTATGTATTGTCATAAGCGCGGCAACGGCAACACTGGTGAATGATAACTGAGGTTGTGTTGTGTTCCTTTCCTTCCGTTTGAGTGCCCGCCGCGCTCGCGTACCGCCTAAAGTTTGTTTTTTATTTAAAGATAATTCCCCAATTAAAAAATTTACTAAGTAACTATAGGCGTATTTTAGCGAGAATTTTAACCCAGTATTATGTTGTATTTACTTGGGATACTACATTTTAGCGATCATGGCTGACATACTATGACGTCACAACATAAAACACAACATAAAACTCGGCAGTAAACATGTAACCATCCTACGAGGGATAGTTACTGGTTGTAGTATGTCAGTGCATCTTTTTTTAATACACGAAAATTAGCATATGGGCAAAACATTACCTGATTACGATACGATTACCGACACAGTTCTTTCCATTATAAATAGAGGATTGTTTTTCCTCATTTTGCCATGGTTTTCTGTGATTTTATTTAGAGGTTTTTTGCAAAAAAAAGAAAAATTTCACTGGTGCACAAAAGTGTAAATTCTATTTTTTTTGGCATAGGGTCCCCATAAAATTCAAAAATACCACAATCTATCGAAAATCTTCACTGGAGAAATAATATTGAAACTCGAAAGCGCATAGTTACTTAGTAAATTTTTTAATTGGGGCATTATCTTTAATTAAAAAACAAACTTTAGGCGGTACGCGAGCGCGGCGGGCACTCAAACGGAAGGAAAGGAACACAACACAACCTCAGTTATCATTCACCAGTGTTGCCGTTGCCGCGCTTATGACAATACATAATTATCATCACGCAATTATCAATGCACCCTAATTGCAGCTATTTAAATTACAAATCAACGGCCCTCCAAAATACCTATCTTATTTCAATCCAACACACCATTCACAAAAAAAAAAATTATGATCAAAGGTAGCGCCATCTCTCGGGGACTTTTCAAACTAAAAAGTTTTATATCGAACTTTGCACAATGCCAAATTCAATATATATAATATTTTTTCATATTTTATAAATATTGAATTTTGCATGGGTCAAATTCAATATATATATTTTTTCAAAGTTTTATATATATCGAACTTTGCACTGTGCCAAATTCGATATATATAATATTTTTTCAAGTTTTATAAATATTGAATTTTGCATGGGGCCAAATTCAATATATTTATTTTTTCAAAGTTATTTTATATGTATCGAACTTTGCATGCTGCTAAATTCGTTATAAATATTATTTTTTATTTTAAATATATGCAAAATAGTAGTCATTTTTATCTATATATTGTTTTTCCTGCAAAATATTGTCGCGGCTTTGGGTTGCCTGCTGACAAAAATCTTGGGTTTGTTGTTCGTTTCGTTTATTCCAAAAATCAAAGTCCAATTAACACAGCAATAATTTATTCCACTTAACAAAACACTCTGACACTAATTACTTTATTAACAAACTCAACAATTAAACTCTTTACAGTCACTATTTAAATCGTATCACAGTCGAACTGAAACTTAAATTTACAAGCTAAAACCTGTCCTTATATATATCCCTAAATCTATTCCTGTAAAATCTAGAACACACACGATAATATTATTTCTCGATTATAGTAGAATAATTCGATAGATTCGAGGATATTCGACATCGATTCTTGACAGCCTGGCGGACGCCGTTAACGATATCGTAGCACTGCCCTCCTCTTAAGATTGATCGTCCCGATCAACTTCACGCCCATGATATTTCGCCAATCTGTCCAGATGTACAACTTTCATCTTACTCCTGGTGTTGCGCTGGACTCGATAAACCAAATCATTGATCCTCTTGATTATTCTATAGGGTCCTTCCCATGCTGAAGACAATTTCGGCGATACTCCTTTCTTCCTTGCTGTCATCAATACAACCACACTAAATCACCTTCTTGAAATCCGACCGAATTGGCTTTCAAGTCGTATCTGGTCTTCATTCGGTCACTGGCTAGTTGAATATGCTCCCGAGCAAAATCATGGATACCCAGAAGTCGTGCCCTTACTTCGTCGGCATAATCTCGGATTTCTCTTCGTTCTTCTTCGGGTACTCCAAACATCAGATCGCAAGGTAACCTGAGTTCCCTTCCAAAAACAATTCTAGCCGGACTTTCACCTGTTGAATCGTGAACAGCCGCTCTGTAAGCCATTAAAAATAGAGGCAAATGCTTGTCCCAATCTCGTTGGTTCTTTGCGACCACTTTTGTCAGGTGTTCCTGTATGGTCTTATTGAATCGTTCCACCATGCCATCAGACTGAGGGTGTAAAGGTGTTGTCCTGGTCTTACGGATTCCTATGATCTCACAAATTTTCTTAAAGATGGCAGATTCGAAGTTTCGTCCCTGGTCTGAATGTAACTCTAGTGGCACACCATGACGACTAAAAACTTCGTCCACTAGCACCTGGGCAACAGTGATGGCTTCTTGATTGGGAATAGCGAAAACTTCTGGCCATTTACTGAAGTAATCCATGATAACTAAGATGTATTTGTTACCACGCTCTGACTCTGGGAACGGTCCAGCAATATCTATCGCTATTCTTTCAAATGGGAGACCGACGTTGTACTGTTTCATGGGCCCCCGAGATCTTAGTTTAGGGCCTTTA